TCACCATAACGTATCAATTAACCCAAAAAAGGTGAAAGATTGAGGTGAAAATTATTGTAATTATGCATACAATGGTTAATTAGTGTAATTAATGCACATACTTAAGCATGAATATGCTGCCTACCATTTGGACCAGCCGTCACACACACCTGTGATGCCTTAAAATGCTGTCTAAGCAGGTTTCAGAAATTATAATATATAAGATGTGCTTGTAGGCAAAGCGAACAATAAAGAAAAGACAGACAACAAAAATACAGACAGATTGCAAGACAAACTGCGAGACGAATAATGAAATGGGAAAGGACGGAACTGTAAAAGTGAACACTGGGTGGGTATTTCTCCCATCATCCCCTGCTGACTGTCCCAGCGTGAGATCAGAGGGGCCGGGTGGCTCTCAGTCACATATGAAGTAAGCAAACAGCCGGAGAAGTGTGACAGCATGACAGGGACATTTCTCATGGCTGCTGCAGCATACTGCTCTACTGCTGCTCTGCGTGAGGCCTGCAGCTCTGAGAAATGAAGCAGGGACCAGAGACGGCAAGACACGGAGTCTGTGGGGCTCAGCAGACACACTAAAGGTGCACAAAAGAGAGCTTTATTGCTGATCTGAGATCAGAGTGTGGCTGCCATTCATCATATATGACAATCACATGGTGTGCATGATGGTGTGTTTATAACAGAAAGATTGTATTGAGACTGTATGTTTTATTTTCGTTAACTTTACACTTTCTTGTTTTATTTAATTTTATATATTTAATTTTATATATTTTTATTTTTCCATTTGCACTATTTAAGTGTATTTGTCTCATTAAATGTATTTATATATAAAGCAAACAATATATATATATATATATATATATATATATACACATTGAGAGAGAACTGATGCAAAAGTACTGGTACCATGGTTTGTTTGCATTTGTTTATTAATTTATTATTATTATTATTGTTTTTATTTAGCTAGCCCATTTACCATGGTAACACCATCATACAGTGCATCCGGAAAGCATTCACAGCGCTTCACTTTTTCCACATTTTGTTATATTACAGCCTTATTCCAAAATTGGTTAAATTCATTATTTTCCTCAAAATTCTACAAACAATACCCAATAATGAGAATGTGAAAGAAGTTTGTTTGAAATCTTTGCAAATTTATAAAAAAAAAATTTTTTTTTAAATCACATGTACATAAGTATTCCCAGCCTTTGCTCAATACTTTGTTGAAGCACCTTTGGCACCAATTACAGCCTCAAATATGTTTGGGTATGATGCGACAAGCTTTGCTCATCAGCATTTGGCAATTATCTGCCATTCTTCACCTCACCTCACCACCTCTCAAGCTCTGTCAGGTCAGATGGGGGCAGATGCACATTTTCAGGTTTCTCCAGAAATATTTGATTGGGTTCAAGCTCAGGCTCTGGCTAGGCCACTCAAGCACATTCACAGAGTTGTCTATAAGCCACTCTTGCTGTGTGCTTAGGGTCATTGTCCTGTTGGAAGGTGAACTGAGGTTCTGAATGCTCTGGACTGGGTTTTCATTAAGGCTATCTCAATATTTTGGGGCATTGAGCTTTTCTTCTACTCTGACGAGTCCCTCGGTCCCTGCTGCTGAAAAACAGCCCCACAGCATGAGACTGCTACCAGCACACTTTACTTTTGGGATGGTACTCTGCAAGTGATGAGCAGAGCTGGATTCCTTCAAACATGATGCTTAGAATTGAGGTTCATCAAACCAGAGACTCTTATTTCTCACAGTCTGAGGGTCTTTTAGGTGCTTTTTTGCAAGTTCCAAGTGTGTTTTCATGTGTCTTCACTGAGGAGAGGATTGAGTTTGGCCACACCGGCATAAAGCCCAGATCGGTGGAGTGTTGCAGTGATATTTGTGCTTCTATAGATTTCTCCCATCTCCACATATGATCATGGAGCTCAACTAGAGTGACCATCAGCTTCTTGGTCACCAGTCTAGACAAGGCCCTTCTCCATCAACTGCTCAGTTTGGCCAGGAGGCCAGCTCTCGGAAGAGTCCTGGTTGTTTTAAACTTCTTCCATTAAGGGTAACAGAGACTACAGTCTTCTGTGAACCTTCAATGCTGCAGAAATTTTTCTGTACCCTTCCTCAGATCTGTGCCTTGATACAATCCTGTCTCAGAGGTCTACAGACAATTCCTTGGACTTCAAGGCTTGGTTTGTGCTCTGACATGCACTGTTAACTGTGGGACCTTATATAGACAGGTGTGTGCCTTTTCAAATCATGTCCAATCAACTGAATTTAACACAGGTGGACTCCAATCAAGTTGTAGAAACATATCAAGGATGATCACTGAAAAAAGGATGCACCTGAGCTCAATTTTGAGTGTCATTGCAAAGGCTGTCAAGGATGATCAGCGGAAACAGGATGCACCTGAGCTCAATTTTGAGTGCCATGGCAAAGGCTGTGAATACTTATGTACATGTGATTTTTCGTTTTTTTTTTATTTTGAATAAATTTGCAAAGCTTTCAAACAAACTTCTTTCACATTGTCATTATGGGGAATTGTTTGTAGAAAATAATGAATTTAATCCATTTTGGAATAATTTATTTATTCATTCATTCATTCATGGGGATTAGGAGGGTTGGATGGGTTTCAAAGGGTCAGCTTGTTCTGTTTATTGTGAAGAAGATTTTGGGCAATTGCATATGACCCTTTCTATGCAAAATCAATATAAAAAAATAGCACCACAGTATTACCACCTGATACGGTTAAAGTACCACAGTATCACCACAGTAGTTTTTCTGAGGCAATTCTTTCATCTTGCCAGTAATATGGATACACACAAATGCAAATGTGTATGTGTGTGGCGTAAAAACCCACGGTGATACACTGATTACCCATAATACCTCTCTTTTATCTCTAAATAGATCAGCTTGATATCACTCTTACGCGTTAAATGAGAGGATTTGCTCCTTTATCCAGGTGTCAGTGTTTCAGAGCTGCAGCTCAAAGCAAAGTTTCTGCCTTCAAGTCACCGTTGTCTGAATGATCATATTTATGAGATGAGAGCACATGAACGGCACCATAACCCTCGGAAAATGTATTTGTGGCACTGCCAGAAGTTTGCCACAGGGGCTTCCTGAACGCTATGCTTTTGTAAGGGAATGTCTTAATTAGCAGTGAGGAAACTGGAGATTTCTTGGGTTTTCTGAGGCAAAATCATACCAGAACCTAATTGGTACTGATGATAAAGAGGTTTGATTATAATAACCGTCGACAAAACAATTTCGTTTATATATTTTATGTACTGTTGATGAAGAACTTGCAGAAAATCATTCTCTAATGACCATCCTTTGCTCTTCGTTTTGCATTTCGTCTCATTAGCATTAAAAAGTATTTGGCAGTAGGTGGAAAAAAATATAGAAAGTTTCATTTGGATTTGACCAAATTATTTTAACGCACATCATGTCGTAATTTTTCGTAAGCAATGCAGCATAAGTGCATTTATGGGGGTTAAAGACCATTTCACACTATTTGTCCAAAGTTTGCTTCAGTGCAACAAGGCATTTGCAAAACAAAAGGCTTGATTAAAGCTGATGACGTGGTTCAGAAGTCAATATTTGCTAATGATGTTTGCTAAAGAAACATGATCATTATACATCGTCGGTTAAGCCCTCACCTTTTTCAATTTTCATAACCCTGTTTTATGCTTCAGTGAACCAAACAGGACCAATTATCCAAAACAAACGAAAATACCAGCTTACAGAAATAACAGCTTCAGATATTTTGTCTGAATATTTGGTTTTATTGTGATGGCAAACTGTAATCAATTGGATGCAGAGTTTTTGGTTTAAAAAGTGCAAAAGCCACTGATGTGTGAAAAGCTATCAAGAAGCACGGTTCAATTTTCCTTTTTTGAGTTAAAAAATGTTTTGTCTTCAACTGATGTGGTCATGCTGTTTTGGCATATAACTAATAGCCTGGAAACACACAAAACGTGTCACTTAATCATCACCTGGACAATATCACATTCAAAAAGCAGTTCAGATGAGGACTCTGATCATAAATCAAGAAGAGAAACTATAAGAGGCGACGTGCCTTGCTTTGCCTTTCCTCGGACGTCTTTTGAGAGAAAAAAAGAGCTCGAGTCTGATATCTTGATATGGTTATAATCGAAAGCCCCGGGGTATGAATATGAATTTAACGAGCACAAGAGGGAAGAGCTCTCGCCAGCTCGCCGGCCGCCTCTAATCTATTAAGTGGGAAAAAGGTGGGAAAGACTAGGCTGGACTGACTTTTAGGACGCATTGCTGAGGTTTTGTGTTAGGATCAGCTTTTCTTTTGTGTTTTCTATCTGCTTCAGAACATTACAACCCTAATTCAGTACACATTTCCAGCTTGTTTGTGTAATACCTTTGGATTAATGTTGGAGACTAAATGTTCCCAACAACAATAAAATAAAAATGATGAGACTAACAAACAAACAAATCAAAATAATTCATTATTAATTTCAACCCTAATACGTTTCATATTTTTGACTTGTTTGTGTAGCACCTTGTGTTTGTGTTCTCAAATGGATGGATGGATGGATGGCTGGCTACACTCTTAAAAATAAAGGTGCTTCACGATGCCATAGAAGAACCTTTGTTGTCTAAATGGTTCCATAAAGAACCTTTAACATCTGAAGAACCTTTCTGTTTCACAAAAGGTTCTTTGTGGCAAAAGAAGGTGCTTCAGATCATAAAAAAGGTAAGAATGAGATGATTCTTTGACTGAATGGTTCCTTTGTGGAACCAAAAATGGTTCTTCTATGGCACCGCTCTCTTTCAAGCACCTTTATTTTTAAGAGTGTAGCAGGATAGATAATGAATGACTGGACAAAGAAAGAAAGAAAGAAAGCTATCTTGCCACAAATAGAGATCTTGGCACAGTCTGTAGTGGCTTATTGCTTTAATTGCCTCAATCTGAGAACACGACCATCATGATTTTCATTAAAAAACATATTCAGGAATGACTGCTCACACTCACCATATTGAGTGACTGTGGCAGAAGTCCAGAGCTGAGATGATCTGTCTGAAGAACTTTCGAGCTTCTTTGGGTGTTAATCGGCCCTTCTTTACCAGATAGTCAAACAGCTCTCCACCTGACACGTGCTCTAAAACCAAATACCTGCAAACAAGACCGAGAGAAATAACATTATATACCCTGACATGATTCTTACTGAAACAGGGAGTTTGTGCAGAACATATAGATGAGCCAGACTTTGTTTTATATAACAGTCCTTTTGTGTATGATGAACCATGGCTGAATTTGGAATAGCAGACATTGCGTACTACTTCTTAGATATAAAAATGAACTAAAAATATTAAGCTAGTATGCTAGAATGTTATTCTAAATTCAGCCCATGACTTACTTGCCCCGCCCCCTTAGTTACTGCTCCTCACTCGGACAAACAAATGAAGATGCTAACTGTCTTACAATGACAGCTGTCAGTGTGAAAACCTTGTCACAGGATGTTTTTTTTTTTTTATGGACACAGAAGGACCATCATTCAAGTGGGACTTAAATATGACATGGAGGGATAGATAAAATATATTAAAATAAATATGTAAAAATACAGATCACAATACAATTACAATTGTCACGATCGCAATGACAACATCCTGGATCAACACCGTTCATGTACTGCAGTGTAAGATTAAATTAATTTACATTTAACCAGTTTAATATGGAGAGGCACTAAAATGTTGACTTTCGTTTATGTGTTTTTGACCTACACTGTACATGACGTGAGAACAGTCTGCTACTTAGGTTTGTACGTTAGCATGGACTCACTAACTTTAACGTTAGCTAGTTTTAGCCAGAGATACCTTGCTAAAGCACAAGATGACATTATCGTTCTGCTTGAGCAGATGAAAATTGTAAATGAGAGAATACGGCAACCAGAAAATTTACGTTTTCGTCTTCATTGGGATTGGGGTTGAATGCTTAGGGACATTTTGCTCTGTTTTGTTTGGGTTTAGGAAATGGAATAAAGTATAAAGTATAATAAGTACCACAGGCACATCGTTTTATTATTTTTGTAGCATAAACACCATCAAACCGATGAAAGCTTCGGATCTTCCAATGTTTCTCTATGGCGCTGAAACCTAAAGATGTCCGAGTTCCGGTTCGTGTGCAACTGATACTCAACTGCCATTGGCTCATCTGCGTTCGAGGGGAGGGGCTTACCAATAAGTCAATTGTTAGTCAGAGGCAGTTGGTATAGAGTGCAACCAGGGGCGCCGTAAGGGGGGGGGGAGGTTAGGACAATTCTAAGGGCCCGGAAAGTGGGGGCCCGAGTGGATATGCTGTCCAGGGGGCCCAGAAACTGTAGCGGCACCCCCGAGTGCAATTGTTGGGTTTCGGTGGTTAAAAAAAATTTATACATTTAGAAAAAAATTGTTTCTATTTTTTTTCGAACAGGAGAACTGATTTTGTACGATAATTTATAAACCTTTAAAGAAAGACCTACTGTAAGCTATGAGGTTGTAATCGATAGTATATGCTATATACATATTTATATACATATTTTTAAATAATCACATTCACTAGCAGAATTCCTGGTGTAAAACTACATTACCCATAATTCTGCTGAGGAATTCCACCAATCAGTGAATTGCAACAAGCAAATTGAGCCAAAAGATCTCTTTTAACTCCCTTAAAGCACTGCAAATTATGTAATGTGGCTCCATCCAAAATCACATACTTCCCTACTATTAGGCAAAAAACAGTGCACATTTGATGGACACTTAACTATCCCATGAGGCCACGAGAGAGGATTTGCAGTAAATCAAGCAACTGACAAATGTAGATTACATTCATAGTCAATAGTGTATATTCTTCATCATTTATAATTTATTTACGCCATTCGCAATACTTCATGGGATTGTAGTTTTTTCCCTCGTGGACAAAAATTTGATTGGACTAGCCGCAGTCCTGCAGAGTTCAGCTCCAACCCTGAAAAAAAAAACTCACCTGCCTATAGCCTTAGTAATCCTGAAGACACTGATTAGCTTGTTCAGGTGTGTTTGATTAGGGTTGGAGCTGAACTCTGCAGGACTGCGGCTCTCTAGGACCGAACTTGCCTACCCCTGGACTAGACCATGAGTCGTCAATATTTTAGGTACATTTTTAAACATTTCGGTTTGTAAATACTTAGGAGAACACTAGCATGTAAAGTGAATACCATCAAAGCTAACAAATATGGATTTCATGAAGTCTATACAGAAACCTGATTAACAGAACTAATACTTTCCTGAAGACGCTTTGCAAAGCATCTGTTGAAATCTCAAAGAGAATAGACAATTTCATCCTCCTAGTATGGGAGATATTCGTTTAAACAAGCAAACTGCGTCGAGAGTGATTCTCTTTGGTTAAAGGTTGTAATACGCTGAGAAATACTGGACTGACAGCTTCCGTTCTACAGCGGCCGAGCGTCGAGAACTGAGAATGCACAATGGAAGGTGAGTGTGAAGATAAAAGGGATACCAGCAAGTAAACACGATAAAACTTTTAGTGAGTTTTAGTTTTGTTAAGTCTCCTTGACAATAACGTGATGTTATGGTTTGAAATTAGGCTGTTTCTGAAAGATGTTCTGTCAGGGAAAGTTTGGAGGAATAGAGCATCTGAACGAACCGCACGTTTTTAAGTTTCTGTGGAGAAACTGTCTTCAGATACAAACACTCACACACTACGAGTCAAAAGAAGTGAGTTGGTGTCATAAACAATAATTAAACAACATTTGAGCATGTGTGTGCTACTCTTCCGAACCAAAACAATAGCCAGCGAGTGATTTGTATCTGTATTTAGATGCTGACAGCTTGATGTCATACTTGGTTAGATTTACCTCCACTCGATTCTTTCTTTTTGCAACTAAACTGAATCTCAAGCCAATAAATTTATCACTCTGTTTAATCACTGCCAATGCATTTTCAAATGCTCAAAGGATACAAACGCAAGTGTGAGGTTGCTTTTACACAATAGCTCAATACACAAGTTAATGCTGAGATACTTACGTTTTAGACATACAGTATATTGCGATTTATTTTGTCTTTTTTGCTCCATAAGCAAAATTAGTTCCAACTGAAGTAACAACAATCAACCGCAGCTGCTCCGAGCAACACATAAGAGGTGCTTTCAATCATTGTTTGAACAAATCGATTGAGTCAATGATTCAATTAATCATTTGGCGCCACCTACTGACGTAACCTTATAGAGTCACTGAAAAGAAGTGTTAAGAACACAACACTGTGTTATATAGCGTAGAATGACTGTCATATTCATATACATCAACCGCAGCTGCTCCGAGCAACGCATAAGAGGTGCTTTCAATCATTGTTTGAACAAATCGATTGAGTCAATGATTCAATGAATCATTTGGCGCCACCTACTGACGTAACCTTATAGAGTCACTGAAAAGAAGTGTTAAGAACACAACACTGTGTTATATAGCGTAGAATGACTGTCATATTCATATACCATGTTTTATGCATAGTAAAAGCAATAAACATGGTAAAAAGTGCAGTATTACCACGATAAGTGATGTGAATTATAAAACCCGTGGAGTGCTTCCAAACTGACAAGAATACATAGAAGTGACGAGGTAAACAGAAACAAACAACACGATTGGTAGTGTAAGATTACTTTTACATAATAGCGCAAATTAATAAAGAGAATCATATTTTAGACATATATTGACATTTGTTTTGTATTTTTTGCTCCATTAGCAAAATAGGTCAAAATGAAGTCACAACAATCATCCAAAGTGTCTCTGAGTAACACACAGTAGAAGTGATTCAGCTCTTAATGAATCAGTGTTTGAACAAATTGGTTGAGTGAATGATTCAATTAATCACTTGTCGCCACCTAGTGAAAGTCACTGAAAGAAGTAATAACACCATGACACTGTGTTATATAGCGTAGAATGGGTCATATTCATATACCATGGCAAGAATGGTAAACATGGTAAAAAAAGTACATATTACCATGATGCCAAGTGATGTAAAAAAATATGTATAAAACTCATGCGGTGCTTCAAAACTGAAGAAAATATAAACAAATGAGTTTATAACTCACTTGTTGAGTAAACAGAAATGATGAGGTAAACAGAAATCATTTTTATGAAGATTTGTTGATGTCAAAAAATGCTATGTGAATTATCATGGTGTTTACATGTCATGAAGGATGACTCGTGGCCCCATTAGCAGCTTAGCTGCTTCACACTTTCATCATTAGGAGTGTTTTAGCACCAGCAGAATCACTTTCTTACAAAACATTTTAAGATCAAACACATTTACACTTGCATTTCTGCCAAACTTTTAGACTTATAGACACCAAACTTTGTTTGTTTTTGCTCTACACTCACATTTTGGGTTTGCAATCCTGATCATATTTCATCTTTATTAAATAATTATTTATTTATTTCTTATACTTACAAATATTTATTATTTTCGTAGACGTCGTGCAACTTTAATACATGTGGATGTTCTATTAGCTTCAAGATGGCGATCTCTCGCTCCACCTGTGGAGAAATAAGATAAAAAAAGCTATTGAATTCACAGCACCAATAATTCAACTATAGTAAGCAACAATACTAATCAAATAAAACGTAACATTTCATTCATTCATTTATCTATCTTTCATAAATGAATACTGACAAAACCTATAATGGGTACTTTAACTACACATTGTCATACAAACAATCAGTAGTTAGATATAAGATCAAGCTGCATATTTCTGATTCACTAAAATAACCGACTTATTGATGTCATTTTTTCGGGAATCGACCTGTACTGGCCACGTTGTATGTTTTTGATTCACTAAAAACAATTGTCTCATAAGATTCATTTATTCATGAATCGGACTGTACAGTGTGGGGCATTTCCCAAAAGCATCATTAGCTAACTATGTAGTCGCAAGTTCCATTGAACTTGGTCACGACGGAACTTGCAACCATAGTTCCTTTTGGGAAACCCTGGTCGCATTTTATGTTATTGATTCACTACAAAGAATCGACTCATTAGAGTCATTCACTCAGGAATCAGACTGTACTGATCATGTTTTAGGTTTTTGATTCACTAAAAATAATAGACTCATTAGAGTCATTTATTCGGGAATTGGACTACACCAGCTGCACTGTATGTTTCTGATTCACTAAAAGAACCGACTCATTGGTGTCACTGCTCGGGCAGTGTATGTTTTTGATTCACTAAAAAGAATCAACTCATTAGAGTCATTCATTCAGGAATGGGACTGTACTGGTCGAGTTTAATCACTAAAAACAATTGGCTCTTTACAGTCATCAATTTGTGATTCAGACTGTACTGGTAGTGTTTTATGTTTCGGGTTATGTTTCTATGTTTCATTAAAAGAAACGACTCCTTGGAGTCATTAATAAGAAATTCTGATTCACTAAAAGAACCAACTCATTAGAGTCATTTGTGTGAGAATTGAACTACACGGATCGCTGTGTTTTACGTGAATAATTTAACCCTAGCTAGACGGTTTGGCCAAGCCAAATAGACAACATTTCTGTGATTTGGACCGAGTGACCTTCAATATGTCACTGCAACTGCAATGTTTGAACTGATACTGCAGTATTTGGGACCTGAGAGCAGCCAAATTGCAACTTATCCTCCATCAGACGGCTGAACTCTGAGAGGTTTCATAAATGTAAAATGAAAAATGATGACAGATCAGCCACAAAACCCTCAAGTTCAGATGCCCATGTCAAGTAGAGCAGACCTTTGCAGAATTCTTCAGGAACAGTCCATAGTGCTACTTTGATACATAAGCATCCTTGTCAGTCTATTGAATAGACTATGCTTATAAATGGATTCCCACATGCACAAGATAAACATATTTTCTCATTGAATCAAGCTTAGGACGACTTATAAGGCGAGTCTACATGAAAGATCTCTCTGACCTGACAGGGAACCAAAGGAAATCTTAAAATCGCAAAAGAACTGAGCTCATAAGTCACAGATCGAACCTAAGATTGTGCCAGTTGTAAGCAAGACAATCATGTTTGATTTACATCACTGTCTTCTGGAATAATCCTAGCATGCACACCTGCCACTGCAGATCAGAGTGGAGGATGGGGACGTAGACGATATTTCCCGAATCCACCTGACCCTAATGTTCCACAGCAGCACTTTGCTCGTGCCTCTCGAAACCTCCTGAATTACTTGCGCTCATCCAACCTCACTACACTCCAGTACAGACCGCTCATGTGACTCGAGTCAGCGGTCCCCAGTGCTTTGAACTCTGTGGAGTCAGCCTTCAAGCTTCAGTTGTAAATCTGCAGCTTGACTTTGACCCTGTTTGCTGTTGACCTTTGAAATCGCAGCCAGATTTTTTTTACAGAACATCTGCATCATGCATGACACAACGACACAAAGTCATTCAGAGAAAAACATTCCTAACTCTAGAAGATCCCACCACCACCTTGAACTTAATGAAAATTTCCACCACATCTCAGTTGATGTTTTGTGTTTGAAACATTCTCTTATGAAAATTACATTTGAACATTTTTGGAATAAACGGACCACCTTCTTAATCTTGCTATGGTTAAATTAATTGGTATTTTGCTACATTGAATTTTATGCATCCTAAATACATCAAATGAAATAATAATTTCACTTTTTTGCATAATTTGACACAATTAGACAATCCAAACTTGACTGGAAATGACACAAAAATATTCTGCTCACAAATATTTTTTTACCTTGATATTTTACTCTTTGGGTTGGTAAGATGTTTTTGAAGTGTCTTATGTTCAATAAGGTTGCATATATGTGACCAAAAATATAGTAAAAACAGTAATATTGTGAAATATTATTACAATTTTAAATAATTGTTTTCTATTTGAAAATATTATAAAATGCAACTTATATCTGTGATCAAGAAACATTTCTGATGATCAATTTTAAAAACAGTTGAGCTGCTTCCTATTTTTGGGAAACCATGATACATTTTTAAGGAATTTTTGATTGATTATATGTTCAAAACAACAGTATTTGTTAAAATATAAATCCTTTGTAACATTATGTCTTTACTATCACTTTTGATCAATTTAATGCATCTTTGCTGAATAAAAATAAAATAATAATGTTATTAAAAAAAAAAAAACTCTTGCTGACCCAATGGAAAAGTAGTGTACCTCCTTATTTTATTCACACATATATCATGTTTCATCTCAAGTTCTACACTGACATTGTGAAAGAAATCACAAACTTTTGAAAGAAAGAAAAAATTATGGTGGAAACGATGATGAAAAAAATATAAATAATTAATTAAATTATTAATGGTTAAAAAATATATTAAATGATTGTGTCACAATACATTTGACATTTGTTTATGAGTATTTCACTCGGATTAGATTACCATAGTTTGAAAAATGTAATAATTCTTATATTTTTCATGCATTTTAATATTGAAATAATCTGGGACAAGAATAAATAAAATCCACAATAAAATCATACATACAGTAAGTGCCATTTGAAAATTTAAAAGTTACCAAGACTTAAACGTGAACTTTATATAACATAAGAAAAAGCTCAAATCTGTTCGTTTTAATAAAACCAACCCCTGGGACATAAAGTACAACTGAAAGTTAAAGAAACCCAATTCTGCGGCCCTCAGGTTTGTTCCCCACGAGGAGAACGATCACCATTGTTCCCTTCAGCAAAGCACTTAAACCCAGGTTTCTCCAGAGGGGACTGTCACTGTAATCATTTGTGCCACTGCTCTATGCTGAAGTCGTGGAAACACATTCGGTCCTGCTATATGTGGCAAAAACATAAAGATCCTGAGCCAAGCTAATCCAATCTGTCCTAACATTCTATAACTAGCCTCAGTATTCTGGTAAATACCTGGATTGATTTGGTTTCATCAACTGACATCATCTGCACAACATTGAGTCAAAGTCCTTCACTTGCTGTTTTAATCAGGCATACAGATGTAATATGACTATTCAGGGAGTAAACAATCTGGCCAATGGCTGAAGAGAGAGCTGGAACAGCCACGGAAATCCCGGACAAAGCCATCTTGACAAACGTGGCACCAGACCAAACCTCACTGAATGGCTGATCCAAAGCCAGTCTGAAGAGCCAAGCAGTGGAATGTCATTCAACACAAGGATGTGCCACAGGATCTCTGCTGAGCATAAACTGCACTCAGGGGCTTGAGGAAAGCCATGGGATGAGAAATCTCTACTGCTGAAGACTACTCAATAAAAGCAAATGAAGTTAGGCTGAGGAGGTCTATAATAGCAAGAAAAAGCTATCCGTAAGCATTACAGCAGCATTCATCTCAATGGCAGTAGCTCAACAGGCACATGCCAACTTGAAAGTTTGTGCGCTGGCAAATTTGATCAATTCCGGAAACTTTTTTTTTTTTTTGAGCAAATCACATAAGCTGTAAAAAAGTAGTAACCATCAAGTAAAAAGTAATAACATATTTTTAATCACACTCTGAATATGTATGCGAGTCTACATTATTCTCTCTCTCTCTCTCTCTCTCTCTATATATATATATATATATATATATATACACATTTAAATGTCATGAATTAATTCATCGGGTTTTTGGGGAGTCGCACAACATGACATTTTACCACCTAAACTAAACTTGCCTTGTCATAAAAAGGTCAAATTATGGAATATGTTAACAGACTTATTGACCAAGACACACAAAATTGATGTAATTTGCTATTTTATATTATTTGTTTATGCATGTTGGTTGCACCACATGACTTTAGTCATGCCTCTTGTGCAATTTCAAATAATAATAAGCAACAAAGCAGTTTTGTTCATTTAATTTTATTCTAAAACAGTAATAAATCAGGTGTTATTTTCAAGAATTTCATCATTTTAATCTTTTTTCTTCATTATTATATCAGAACAGTTCACCTTAACCTTTTCGACTATGTAAAAAAATATTTGACCCAGATGCCCTAAATCTGTCGTCTCAAAGTATAAAGGTCTAAATTATGAAATGATTAGTGCTAATTAGACTGTAAATAAATTTTAAAAGTTGAAGCTGAAAGTGGTACAAATAGTGATTGCAAATATCGATTTTAAGCACTGATTGTCTATGACAAGCCCTTGAAATAGCTCTTCTAAATCTGTGAAACTTGGAAGCTCCGCGGCAGCAGTAGCGTGAATTTATTCCTCGTGATTAAAATGTTGCTGCAAATGAGCCTGACTCTCTCCTCCATCCATTAACATCATGTCCACCCTACGCTCGCCAACTACTCATTGCTCCATCTTACCATATTGACCCATTCCCTCAAAATGTCAGTTTGCCGGCACCTGTGCACCTACTTCTATGAATAACCGAGCGTTAATTAACTCTACACATCTGTGTGCATGCAGCCATCCAATTTCCATATAACTTCATTAGTGAGTTATTACACTGGGACTGGCCTCGACTCCACGCCACTTTGAGTCAACGAGGGCCGGCGGAGATTCGGGTTCAGGTTGCAGGTTCTTGATTTGTGGGAGTGAGTTGAGATGAAGG